GAAATGCCACTCCATGTCAGTCTTTGAAGGCGACAGGTTGTGTTGCTTTTTAACTGCACTGTATTATACAGAGAAGTGTTTCTGTTATCAAAAGGACCATCCATGTAATGAGCTACACTTCAGCAGCACCTTAAATTTAAGTCTGAAATTAGACCAGTTCTCCAAGAGGGTTAAAAATGGACATTATAACCTTCATGAAGGAAAGTTTATTCAGGCAAAGCTGCATCAGGTTCGACCAAGTGCCCCAGTTTAGCCACCTGTGTGCAAAGAATAAAGCAATGTGATACAGTAAACGACTATCAAATAAAAGCAGTGAATAAGTTGAAAGCAAACATACACCAAAGCTATCAGTATTTTTATTGACACTGTGCCCAAGGTCCTGCTGTGGTCTCAATTGATAACAGTTATATTTGCTTAATGTAGGGCAGTAAATGGAGACACAAATGCATCTAAAACGAGTCACTTACTCCTTTAAGTCATGACCACATCTGACAAAAATCTGTCTATTTAACTGACAGGACAAACTCATAAAGCCTTCTTTTGTTTATCCCCCAGTTACAAACTAAATAATATGCTAGGAATTGATTATTTATTAACATGTATTTAACCAGGAAGTGAAACTTTTAAGATCAAGTGTTTATTTTGCATGAAAGATTCTAGTAAAATCTCAACCTGAACTAGGCCTATGGATGCTGTGGCAGCAGGAGGAGAAAGAATCGTACACTTCCACAGGACTAAACTGTCGACATATCCTCCCAGTCCGCCCACTCTCACATGAAGTGGAGCTATTTCCACAGTAACAGCAGTTTGAACTACGTCACTAGTGCAGATCCAGAGAGTAGAGGCAGATGATGTGGGAAAATTTTACATCAGCGTACATATATTGGCAGCACTATGCGGCCAGCTCCCACTCACACTATTTTTCACTTGAGTGGTCCTGATACTTTAAGAAAATGCAGCTGATGGTTAATCAGAACTTATAGATGTGTCTTTTCAGAGGTTTAATAATGACAAGACTACAGAGGAGATGTCAGAGAAGGAAATTCGGAAAAGACTTGATAATACCGCAATGCTTGAAGACACGTGAGGACACTTGTGACAAAAACACACCGTCATCTATCAGCTGGTGAATTACACCCACTGCCACTTCATTAGGTACACCCATTCAACTGCTCTTTCACGTAAATATCTGATGAGTCAATCACATGGCAGCAATTTACTCCATTTAGACATGGAGACATGGTCAAGATGACCTGCTGAAATTCAAACCAAGCATCAGAATTTTGAAAGAAAGATGATAAACATGGCATCGTTGTTGGTGCCAGACAGGCTGCTCTGAGTGAATACTGCTGATCTACTGGGATTTTCCCACACAGTCATCTCTAGGGTTTACAGAGAGCGATCAGAAAAACAAAAATTATCCAGGGAATTAGCTGAGTGGAAATGCCTTCTTCATAGGGGATATTGTGTTGGCACACTTTGGGCCCCTTAGTTCCAAATGAGCATCATTTAAACACACATCAGCCTACACGAGTATTGCTGCTGTCCATGTCTATACTTTTACAACAACAGTGTATACATTTTCTAATTGCTGCTTCCTGCATGTCCCAAAGCTCCAATGACCTCAGTCTGGTTTCTTGAGCGTGACACAGAAACAGTCACCAGATCACAGAATAATACAGCACCTTTTGGGTGTTGTGGAACAGGAGATTTGGATCATGGATGTGCAGCTGATAAATCGACAGTAACTGTGTGATGCAATCACGTTAATAAGGAACAAAATCTCTGAGGACTGTTTCCAGCACCTTATTGAAACTGTGAAACAATTACTTAATGCAGCTCTGAAAGAAAAGGGTGGTCAAACCCAGTACTAGCAAGGTGTGCCTACTGAAATGGCATGTGAATTTATACATGAAATATACTTCATTTCCCAGACTGCTCTTTGTATATTAATGGCAGGTTGCAAATTTGCCGTTCTTTGTCACAGACTGTTGTTCAAAGACAAAGTGAAAGAATCAAAAATCGTTGTCATACTGCTTGTAGAGGATGATATGCAGAAGCATTTGATTTGCTTTCACTTATCATTTATACAATACATCCTTTGGAACGCTACTTATGGCTGTAGAAACAGCATACAAACTTTTGGGCTGGCATGAAGCAGGGAATCGAACCAACAGGAAGACGAGCAGTCCGACCATCTCAAATCCAAGCAAACAGATTTCTGAACAGAAATTTAGCAAATATATCGTCATCCCAGCAGCAACATATGAGCAGCTTAACTATTTTTAGTCATTACCATTTTTGCTGCCATATCTACAATCTGCTTCTCTGATGTTTCTCATACCATTTATGGTAAGTTGGAGGTTAAAAATTTGATTTGACCACCTGAATTATATGTAAGGTTTTGGACCTAATTTAAACTTTTTGCCAGGAGGGCATTAATCTATCCCCTTCTCTCAAACTGTCTATAGTATTTTGTTTTTGGTACACTAATTAAAGACTAAAGGCAGGTCCAGTTTTTTTTTTCTTTCATTACTGATCCTTCTTTATACTTTTCATACATCAGCACTTCTCCATTCTACAGCTGGTCAGTCGGAAGTGAGTCAACCTGTGGGCATGAAGGAATCCCCCTCAAACCAGTCCCCAGTGCTGCACGAGAAATACGCGCTAAAAGCAAAAAGTCTTCTCCTCGTAGGAGGCATGTAGGACTACTGCACGTTGTATCCAGTCCAAAATAGTTGAACACTCCGAGTTACTCTTATGACTGTAAACGTGGCATCCCCTTATAGTGCTCAGAGCCCAGGCTGCCTCCGCCTGTGAACGTGCTCCCTCCCACACGCAGTTTGTCAGTGAGGTGTAGGCGGGTGTCGATACACTTATACGAAAGATATGCAGCTCTGCAGCAAATGTGACGTATGCAACAGTTGGCACCGTCTTTTCGTCACAAGATGCATTATAGCTGTTGCCCACAATCACTAAATCTGCTGTTGGCAAATTGCATCAGCCAGCTCAGTGTCATGCCAAACTGGTGGGCAACTAATTTTCCCCATGGGAGCCACACTGAGGGACTGGAACTTGTTTCTGCTCATTATTCACTTTATCTCTTTATAAACTCTTTATAAGCTTTGCAGCTCCCCGGTCAGCTCGAATGACTGAGATCAGGTGCTCATTAACATTTTGAAAGTGGAACAAAGTTGGTGATGCTGGGTGGATACACAGCTGTTTGGTGCTGAAGTGGGGCCCTCAGTATTTGTCTTTCATTCTGACTAATCCTCTGAGTGTGATTTCTCTCCATTTAACTGCTGTGTTTAAATCCTTGCCCAGCAATGAGACCTCCAATTGTCTTTTTGTCATCTCTTCCTCTGTCCTCTGCCTGACTGCCAATGCCCACTGGACTTGTTCCCCACTCAAATCAAGCTGCGCATATAATTACTCTGCATGTTTAAAAGAGCAGCTAAGTAGAGAGTTAGACTCTGTGTGTATTTAACCTGGCTTTTTTATAATTACATTCAAGAAACCGTCTGTTCTTTTTGTGGCTGCTCATCTCATTCACTGCTCCTGGAGACTGGACCAGGAATCACACACACACAGACGAGGAGAGTCTGATTGTTTGGAAAGATTTATGTTCAGGGGTGGATACTAGAAGATGTTTTCATTTCTAAAAAAAAAACAGTCAGTAAACATAATTGTTATGTTAGGAGCATTTTTCTTGCTTTTCTTATAACCCCTGACTGGCTCTTATTTGTCATTTTGGACACTGATGTGTCAAGGAAATGTGTGCAGATTTATAATCCTAAAAATATATATATATTTTTAAGATTTCTAGTCTTTAATTTAGTAATATTTCACGCCTAACCGTCAAACATTGTAATGTTCTACCATAAGCAAGGCTAACAGCCCTAAAATGGAAAGATTTACTGCACCAGAAGCCTGTAGACCAGGGGTGGGGAACTCCAGGCTTCAAGGGTCGGTGTCCTGCAGGTTTTAGATGTGTCCTTGACAACACAGCTGATTTAAATGGCTAAATTACCTCCTCAACATGTCTTTAAGTTCTCCAGAGGCCTGGTAATGAACTAATCATTTGATTCAGGCGTGTTGACATGGATGGATGACTAAAACCTGCAGGACACCGGCCCTCGAGGCCCGGAGTTCTCCACCTCTGCTGTAGACCAATCCCAACATCATTAAATCAATCACAGACAAGAACAAACAGCATTGTACTCCTTTGTATTTTAAGCAATTTATAATTTAAGCAATAATTTTAGTCACTAATATAGCTTGGAGTCTACCTAATCAAGCATCTTTACTTCTGCGAGTGTTTGGAGCTCAAGATTAAGCCGTTACAAGCTCTAAAAAAATGTATTCATACCCAGTATTTCACACTATGTCAGAACAACAGTACTTTCTTACTTTTTTGTTCATGGACTACAGCAATCTGTATTTAAAAGTATCACAGCCCGGAAGTGTTTTTATTACACTTTTACTGCACCAGCAGTTCTCCCAGCGGCGCTGAAGTGAGTCCGACCTTCAGCTTAAAACCTTAAATATAAAAGATGGGCCAGACTCGATGTGCGCCCACACTGTCAGATCACAGGAGTCACCGTGTGCTGGTGCACTATTGCTTCTTTGTGACTTCTAAGTAAATGCACTCATTAGAAAAGTGGAGAAAAAGGTGCCTCGGTGTCCTTGGATCTGCTGCCATCTGTGAACAAATTCCCTCCCACATACTGTTTGACAGTAATGTGTAGGTGGGTGTTGTTTTCTGCTGTAAACCCATTAGAATTTCTCTAAATGCGACATGCCGCTGGCTCCTATTCAGTATGCGCCGCCTTACCCACCACAGCATACATGTGCCAAACAATAGTGTCATTCAGAAAATCTTCACTGTATTTTAATTATCTTTTAAAGCAACAGATGAGTTTGCCTTGTTATCAAGCAATCTACATCATATTCTTATTTTAAAACTATCCTGTGGCATAAAAACACTTAAAGATACGACATCTGCACACTGGCTTTATTCCGAGGGGCAAAAAGTTGCACTACAAGTAAAAATTCCATTATAAAATAATGATAGTACAACACAGTCTGACTGGATAAAACAGTCATGTCTTTAATGATCGTGTTCAGTAATCACTCACAGCTCAGGCTGGAAAAACTAAGTTAAGTCTTGAATTTAGTAGTTCAAAGAAACTTCTTTAACAGCAGCATCATTTCCTGGAGATGCTGATAAGAAGTGCACAATGAGTATTTGGGGGATTTCTTGATTGTCCAGCCTTGCTCAGCTCACACCACAGCATCTCAAGGTGGTTACAGACCAAAATTGTTGTTTCTTTTTCTTTAAACCATCTGTTCATTTATTTGTGCACCCCAGGTCAATGTCATGTTGGATGACCCAGTCTGTAGCATAGCGCCCTGACATTCGCCCCTAATATTTCTTGATTTAATTTTAGCTCCCTCAGTGCTAAGCCACTGGTGCTTTGCTGTTTGTATACAGCAAACATAATCCTCCTAGAAGTCATATCCAAAATAATAATGAAAACACTTGACTCCAAGTTTAATTTGGAACACATAGGACTCTTATTAATTTAGTAAGACTGCCTTGGTCCATAATTACAACTCAGAAGGAGATCCTGTCAGCCCTGAAAAGTTTTCAACCGTTTTTCTGGGAACTGCATTCTTTATCTTGGCAAGAAAGCCGATCATAAACAGACCGACCACGTGGAGAGTTCTGAATGAGCAGATCAGTCTATGTTAGCTTATTTGTAGTACACATTCAGTTACATGGTATTTGCACCATTGTGGTGCACTAAGAGCCTTGTAAATTCTTACTTGTATAGCTGTGATTGTGGGCAGTTTGCTAGGCAAATATCGCCCTCTGCAGGTTCAACAGGAAACACTCAGGTGTAACTTTTTTTGTAGTAGCTAACAATTACTAACTATAAACAGGCCATTCAGGTAATACAATCGTTTATTTTTCTATAAATCTGTGCAAAATTTAAAGCACACAATAGCAAGATGGCACCCAACTGTGGCAGCAATATTTTAGCAAATAAATGAGAATCTAATACATTAACATCCAATCAGCTTTCTACTAATACAATCATCTCCTCTCACACAAAAAAGTGCAGATTAATTTTCTTAATGCCACTATGGCCTAATCTCAGTTTCAAAGGGATAGCCTCAGTTCCCCTCAAGCATTCATGTTTGTTGGTGTATTAGTGGGAGGAATAGGTGTGTGTAACATTCATGTTTGATTAAAGTTTAAAACTGAGATTTGCAGTGTTTTCATCTATTGTAATACTGTGGTTGACGACTAACATGTCAATAAATCGGGAGGCAACAGGCACAGCCCCGTCCATGAACGATACTAGATTCTGCTAGTCGATGACAAAGAGTTAGTAAAATTCTAGATGTCAGTCGTAACCACAGGAGTGACTCCGTGAACGAGCAATGTCGGACCAAGGTTTCGACTCAACAGGTCCACCTGATGCAGGTAGGCACGGTAACGGCTTCTATCAGCTGGGGGGTGTGGCAAATACAAGAAACGCACAGCTGGCTGAGGGACACCATGACGGCAAATCATATCATTGACGGCACAGATGTACTCATCTGTAAGTTGAGAGGCATTATTGGGATATGTCTGGTTACAGTCTTCTCTCTCATCTTCCTCATTCTGTTCAGCCCTTTCTCTTTGCCTCTGCCAGTGTAGCGCCACCACCTCATCCCAAGCCACCATCTGAACCTGAGCTGAGATCCTTAGATCCCTAAGCATACCCTGGAGCTTTGCTTCCTCCTTTTCTTGCAGACTGTAGCCAGCCTCCATGCACAAGAAGAGTCGGAGTCTCGCCTGGTTCCAGGCACGGGAATCGTGAAGCACACAAGCCAGCTGGAGAAGAAACAATGAGCAGATGCCAACATAACTATGGCTGTCTGGCTGAAGAAGATTCATAGGCCACACATCAATGAATGGCCCGGCCACACCTCTGATCTTTCTTCCTGACCCTAAGACTCTGTCCCGGTTGAACTGGTCGAAACACCGAGCCAGAGTCACATTCTTTCCCATTTTTACAGCATCAGCAATCACAGAGACGTATTCCTCTTCCTGGAGGTCTTTGGGGTCCTCAGCACCTCGCAGACTGGGAAAGAAGGGAGAGCGTTGCTCTCCAGGGACTTTGGTTGGACAGACCGTATCAAAGCTATGGCCTGTAGACAGGAGAATATGACCTTGGAGGTGGTCATGAGGAGTGCAGTCATCATAGAAACCCAAGACAAGGGTGTTGGGCCTCATTCCACCTAGAATCAAAGACTTGTATCAACTGTGCTTTGAATAAGAAAAATATGAATGATAAAATGATGTATTATATTGGAAATGCTGCCATAACTACTGCTCAGTGACAGACAGGACCTAATCCTACAACAGTAAAGGTAAAGCCACCTACCAAAGCCTGAGATGAAAAGCAAATTCTGAACGCCGTGTCGGACGGAGTCAGCCAGGGTCAGGTTGACAAACGCTTTGATTTTCAAATGATCCACTAAACAGAGCCAGGAGTCATATCGACTCTGCAAAGGATCAGAGGGCAGCTCATCTGCACACACACAGAGGCACACACAATATAACAAGAATCAGACTTTCATAGGGAAAACAAGCAAACTTCTGTTTTAACACTTTTCCCTCTCACTGTGAAATCTCGTTAACGTTAGGATTCATTAAAACTGATTTACACTCAGAAATAACAGCTCTTTTCATCAAAGACTATCACTGAGGTACAAATATCTCCCTCTAAGACCTAAAGTACTCAATAATCCACTAGATCGGGCTCCAGCGTACACATTTCTTACCCAGCAAGCCCAGCTTTATGTGTCCAAGCACATAGAGGCCGCTCTTCTTCAGATCATTAATGAAAGTCATGAGGCCTGTACAGCTGCGAGGGTTTGCAACCATCAGAAGCACCTGGGGCCTCCAGAACTTAACATGGTCCTTTCGCACATCCAACATCAACAAGTACTTACGCACCTTGGTAATTACAGAAAATAGTAAATAATGATTAAATATAAGTGATTCATGCATATTTATGTCACATTTGTGATTCATGTGAGTGAAAAACACTTTATGCACCTGGTGGAAGATGAGGGCCTGGCTGATGTAGCCCCAGTTGCTGATGGGCCCCAGGTAGTGGATAAGCATCAAGAGCACCAGCATAAAGGCTATGCTGGCAAATGCATAAATTGCATTGATCAAAAATATCATGACCAGGCAGCCGAGGATGCCCAGAGTGCAGGTGTGCCATGTAAAGAAACGGAACGAGGGTCTAAATATAAAACAAGAAATAAACAAAAATGAAAGAACATGTATGAAAATGTTCCATTTTGGTTTTACCTGTGCAAATAAAATCTAAAGCAGAAAGGTAAGCCACTGCCTTATGCTGCACTGTACCTGAAGTTTGGTGCAGAAGCCCATTCAAGAGCCAAACAGGCCAGGTTCACAGCAGCATACACCAACAAGAAGAAGATGGTTACAATACCAGCAATGGTGTTCAATTTACCTGCAAATAGCACCATCTAGTGGAGGTGATTGGAAAAAATAGGTTTTAGTGAAAATTAAGAGTGGCTTAGCAGAAAATCTCAAACTGATATGCCATTGAGACCAAAAATTCTCCTGTTTTAGTCCAGAAAAAAATCCAGTCAAATGATACCAAGTGAACAGGCTTTGACATGCACCATTAAAATGCAACAGAACAATGTTTGCAACAATAAAACTCACCATACGTCAACTATGATAGCTTTGAACCCCCGGCTGCCTCGACACCACAAATTTAAACAGCTACACTGTATCTGAATTTACTGAAAAATCCTTTCACTCGAGCTAATGAGCTGAAGCTAAGCAGCATGGTACTGTAAGAATTCACTTATTAGTTTGACAACATTCAGCTCCGTCTCCCTGCCAGAACCTTTCAAGCTGTGAGTCCTCTTCACTCGACAAATGAGCGAAAATCTGAAGCTGAGCACAATGATGCTCAAAGTCTTTTTGCATCGCTGAGCAGCGGCTGAAGAATGAGCAAAGTTAAATGAGCTATCAGTTTGTCTGCTCTTGATTTTTCCTTCCTCTGTTCCAGCTTTCATTTACAATCAACTGCAGACAGCACTGCACCTTTAGCAAACAGTCTATGACGTCAGTGCTGATGCAGCATCACTACACACATCCTAATTTATTTTTCCCCACCTGTATTAGAAACAGAAGACAGGGTGGAAGTGGAAAGATTTTCTTTTATTTTTTAAATTACTTTTCTTAATATGCTATTACTGACTTTTTCACTAGTTTCCTCAAATTTTATTCAGGGTCCATAATTCAGACCAAGAGAACAAGATCCCTTCAAAATGTGACTTGGACACTTTAAGTCTGGTTAACCTTTGAATCTGAGCCTTCTGCACTTTGGCAAAGCTACAAGAAGCTCGCCAAGCTTCGCCTAGTCACAGTTGCCACTGTAAACATGTTCATGCATTTGAGGGCGTCTACGGTTTGATGGCAGAGCCATACTTGGCAAATGGGCAATAAGCTGGTCCACTGATGTGCATGACATTGGTCTTAAAAGTGTTAAGGTACAGACTGAGTAGCACTTTTGGGTCTGTGCAGAAATTATTTTGCAACTTCAATCGTGTCTTCAAGAAGGCAGATGTTATCTGCAAAATCGAGGTTCTGAAGGATAACAGCTGCATGCTGGGAACCTTCTCTTAGTGGGGCCATCAGTACTGCAAAGCGTGTCGAGTGTAATGATACAACTTTAAAGGTGCAAGTGACTGTAGGGGGGAAACTGTACTCCAGCAGGGTCTTCAACAATATATTACAACTGATCTTCAAGGCAATAAAGCATGACTTTGTTAAGAGATGTATTCTAAAACACTTCTTTAGCTGAGAATCAGAGAGGAGAAACACAGAGTTTTACTTGTTGCTTAGCAAGGGCAGCTCTGAGCTCTCGCACGAGAGTGAGGGCTCAGGGACTCGCACTCTGAGACTGCCCTGGTCTTTATTTCATACATCAGTGGGTGTTTATTCCTTACATTGGAATGTGGAGGTGTATATATGTGTGTGTGAGTGTGTGTGTCCCCCCCCATAAACTACTTCCCTAAACCTGCTGGTCTGGAAAATCCAACAGTTCATCTAAATGTAAAAAAGGCACTTAGACTAAAACTGACATAGCTACGTTTAGGCACGACCTTTCCCATGCTCCCAGGATGTGGGTGTGAATGCCAGAGCACTCTGGAATGCACACAAAGCCTTTGCAGACTATTAAGGATCGCATATCCTATCACTACTATATGTAAACTTATATTATTAAAAGATTATACTGACTACTAAGTACAATTTTCTATTGACAGACTTCCTTACAGGGGCCGTGGCCTCTTCCAGGACTCTGCGTTGTCAGAATATGGGCCAATGTTGATCATACTGATGTACTAGTTTGAGCAGAAGGTGGTTGTAAGAAAGGGTGATGGCAACTGCAGTCTTCAAGAAGGGTGAGGTTTCCTCTTGTTAGTACACGGACTATACCTGACAGACCTCAACATCAGTGGAGAGAAGTTTTAGAAAGCAGTATTTTCCAAGTGTTGGGTCTTCCTGCACCTTTATATGAAAATTTCTTCAGTTTTCTTGCCAGAGAGCTCAAAAACTAGTTTTCAAAGTGATGAACAGGCTGCAAGACAGGCTGCCGTCTGTGGTGATGTGAATGAACTCTGCAGTGTTTTCAGTTAGTAGTTAACGAGCATGTCCTACGAAGAGGTTATTAGCCACATCTGCCACCCAGCAGTCTTTTCGTGCCATCCTAAATGTTTCCAGGAGGAGCCCCATCACCTACAGGAACCTACTGAAGATCTTGAGTGTCACCCGCAATCACTGACTACCTCATGATGGCCATGTGATGCTTTAACATGTGACAACTGGGGCTGCCTCGCTGTGGGACACAGATGTTAAGAGGTATTGTGGCGGACCATCTCTGACGCAAGAAACTGATTGAAGAGGACGTTAGACTGCAGAAAGAAAACCTGTGTGTCATGCTGAACTGAGGTGTTTGGAAGGACTTCATAGTATAACCAAGAAGAATTGGAGGATGATGTGTCTGCCCTTTACCATTCATCTATTTTCATCAGGTATTTTGAATTGGTTGCTGTATCCTAGATTACTGGGTATGTGTAAACAATCAGTGTAAGATGGCTCAGCCTATAAGCTAATGAGATATCTGCTTTCAAGGCGAGACTGTCTAAACTTCAAACACAGAGGAAAATGCAAACATATGATGTGATACTGATATCCTACCTGCACAAGCAACCAAGAGACAAGCACTGAGACCCAGGGGTTTCCACTTTGAGAGGTTTTCCTTGCCAGAGCCAGAACACCGCCTGCAGAGATTTAGACAACTAACAAAAGCAAAGTCTCTCTGTCTGTTTCGCTCATCGTCCCAAATCCAATAAATAACTGAGTCACACGAGGACTTTTTTTCCTTTTGAGAAAGTCAACACCGCGTGCCATCTGTTGTCAAACGAAGCTTTCCAGATTAACATGTCTCCACTTGGAAAATGACACATGATGAAATTAATAACAAGTGACAATTTCTCACATTTGAGATGGAGACCCAGCTCAGCAGATGGCTGAATATTAAAATGTCGACTCAGCTACAGAAGACCAGATGAATTGGATATGCTTTTATATAATCCAGATCAACACTTCACAGCCTGATCATTAGTAATTAACTCCTTTTTATTACAGGAAAGGTTAGCATCCACATCTGATGGCTTCTTATAGGAAATTGTTAATGTTAGAGACAAGAAATCCAAATTACAATCATCAGGCAGCAAAACGCATGCTCAAGAATCTCACCAAACAGGTCGTCTTTGGACAGGGCGTACAGCACCCTGGAGGCTCCAATAAGGTTACTCATTGCTGCAGACAGGGCCGAGGAGTAAATGCCAACTGTGACCATGGGTGGCAATATATTAATGTCCCCCAGGAAGCTGTAGTCTCTTTGGAGAAGATAACTAGGAGAAATTGGGAAAATTTGACATGTGAAACTAGTTGTAAAGTCTAAAAAGTTTATTAAATTTTAATTATATAGTTCTAATTCACAACAACAGTCACCCCAAGGTGCTTTATATTGTAAGGTAAGGATGCTATAACATTAGAAAGAAACAATCAGACGACCTCCTGTGAGCAAGCACTTAGTGACAGTGGGAAGGAAAAAAATTTTTTTTGTAAAACAGACAGTTTTGTTTTCACAGATCCGACTCTGAAAGCAGTGACTGTCAACATCTTAAACAAGAGTAGTTGTTTATACTTGTTTCAGAGTATCTGTGTGTGTTGTGTGTCTAACCGGTCACAGGACCATGCCGCCAGCAGACTCAGCACATTATATGTGATGAAAGTTGTAAAAACAGCAGCAAGACTTCCTCTCGGGATGGAATAGCCAGGGTTTTTCAGATCACCTGAAGGAGGAAAAATAAATCAGCATCCATGTTGAACACATTTAAACATAGAAACATTAAGGTTTGGCCAAACTCAGACCTTTCCCACATTATACACTGCGTGCCGAATCTGCGCCTGGATCCAAGAAAAACCTGCAGTTCTAGAGATGCGTTAGTCAACCCATTATTTTGCTCTGCAAGCAGGCGATTACCTACAGCTTAATACGTACACTCTCACAGCATATTTTTCCATTTTTCCTTTCAGGCTGTCAACAGTTGCTGGTCAATACAGTGCTGTGAAAAAGTATTTTTCCCCTCACTGATTTCCTTGCATGCGAGTCACATTCGCATGTTTTATTTCAAACAGAATTTAACAATAGACAAAAATAACCAGAGTAAATACAAAATGCAGTTTAAATTATTTCCTTTATTAAGAGAAAAAAATGCTATACCACATAGACCCATGCAGATTTGATGAATAACTTAATTTGATGATCTGTGTGACAAAACGAAAAAAATAAATTTGGGAGGAAAATACTTCTACACACCACAGCAGCTAAAAAAAAAAAAAAAAAAAAAAAGTGGTAAATTTTAAAAACCAAATGATTAATATCAAATAAAGTACAATAACTACAGGCTTTTACTCTCTGGCCTATGGATCCTCTGACAGGACTTTCTTTTATGGCTTTTGCGAGAATTATAGCACTCAGCATGTTAAACTTGTTGTTTTCATCATTCCTGAAGTGACATACAGCTAGAGAAAGCCACCACTGCTTTCCCTCGTCTTTTTAAATGAAGTTTTACCTGACATGTTGGACCCTGCCATGATTCCAGTGCAGCCGTTGAACATGACCGCAAACACTCTGGTAAAACTCATCATGGCACCAGTGGTGTAGTCCACCGTGTACGCGGCTAGAGGGAGTAACAGGAGGCTCGACTGTGTCATTTATACAAACAAAAAGGATGTTTGAATGTAAATGTCAGCATTTTTTACTAATTCAAAGCGTTATTGGAAAACTGGATCTGTAATTGCATTTTTCTGTCTCCTTACAAAGCAAAAACTAAATAAAAGCCAATCAACACATCTGATGACGTGTCCAATGCTTACAGAACAGGTTTCCCTCCAGCGTGTGCAGCCTGAAGCCTGTATAATTGGCAGTGCTCATGCTGGTGGTGTTCACTGCAGACGTGTGTGACAGAGTCACCACGGTGGGCCCCACAATGAAGAAACTAATGAAGATCGAAGCCAGGACCGTCATGACTACGATGAAGATAATGAAGGTGGCTTTTGCATAGATGTGGGCTCCCACCTGTAATCATAAGCTGGTAAAGTTACTCCACTTAAATATCTATACATTGTTTCTATGCATGAATCAAAAATTCAGATATAAATATTAAAAGAAAAGTATAGCTTAAAAAATAAATTTGGAACAGTAATAATTGTTGATTTAAAACATTCAAATTCCTCAGTTCTTTATTTGTTTAGCTCTCATACAATACAGTAAATATCTCAATAATCTTAGAATATATCTAAAAGAAGGGCAATGAAAAACTCCAATCTCACCAGACACACAATGAAACACAGGAAAAGCAGGGCGGTGCCATAAAGCAGAGACCACCAGTATCCTGATGGCAGCATGTGATGGTGACCTGCAGCAGCTGCAGCCCCCTCTGAGTGACAGTAAAACAGAGTTAGTGCATAAACAAGCCAAAACATCTACATGTCCCATCTTGTCCCAATAGACTTCACCTTCTGGAACCCCGAAGGTAGATGTAATAGCCTCGACCAAACCCAAAATGTAGAGAGCACTACTGCAAATGTTGGCAAAGAAAAACATGATCCCAATGCTGCCACCAAACTCTGGACCCAGGGCTCGGCTGATCATGTCTGGTGGTCCAAGTTGAGGAATTTCTGACTTGAGGGTGGCAGTGGAATAATTAGTTTTCCCCTGGGGGGTCTTAAAGGACTGAAATGACCTAAAGTGTTCAAGTGTCATGAACATGGATGAATGCTCTAAATTAGAATGAAAGTTTCTTCAATGCTTCACTTCTAATCTCCTGAGAAAGAATACAGTGGACCATCATTACAAGAAAAGAGAAAGAGCTAATGGTCTACGACTGCTGGAACTGATCATGTTAATAAAGATGTATTTTTTATTGCATCTCAGGACTTATTTAAATAGTCTTCGATTGTCCAGTTTTAGTGAGGCTGTGCAAATTGTTGCCGCTTTCTGATCTTGCGTTCTTTTTGTCCTCCGTAAACCTTCGAGATGGTTGTGTTAAAAAAAATAAAAATAAAAGAATCCCAGCAGCAGGTTTTGAATACTCAGACCAGCCTGTCTGCCACCAACACACATGCAACATTCAAACTCACTTAAATCTATTTTGTTACCCATACTTATGCTCGCTTTAAACTTCAGCAGGTTGTCTGAACCATGTTAAGTTACTGCCAAGTAATTGGCAGGACAGTTATTTGCTGTCGTAAGCAGTTCAACAGGTGTACCTAATAAAGAGGTTACTAAGAATATAAAGTTTGAAACAATATTTAAAGGTAAGCCATTGCATCGCTTAAAACCTAATTTATCAATTATTGGCAGGCTTTAGGATTATCATGTATTATTTAATTTTGAAAGCATCTGTGACCAAAATGGGAAGGACTTACAAGGGATCATTTCTTCATTTAGAATAAAAAAAACATGAGTGGGCCAGTAGGAGAGCAGCAAAGCTCAAAGGAATAATACTGATTTACTTTTGACACTGGTGTCTTTTTTTATTTGAATTTTAACCATCTTTTATCTAGCCTGCATGAAAGTACACATGGACCAAAGCTAAGACACGCTTTAAAAGGTGCACAACTCAAGACAACTTGCTGCCATCACACAATTAAGCAGCCTAGTGTGGCTGCATTCTCTTAGCTATCTTTTCCTGAATATGAATGACATCTCTTTCACGTCTTCCCTTACATAACCTCAAGACATTTTCAATCACAGTCAAGAGAAGACCTTTGACTGCAGCCAGATTCTAAAATATAGAATGCCAAACACTTGGTCTCAATACTTCCCCTTTAAGAGGCAGCTAAAGACCTGAAAAGAAACAAAGGAGATGCCTGTGCAGCTAGAGGATATACAGCAATAAAGCAAATCAGAGGGAAAAAATAAGTGTGTTAATGAATTCATAAACAAGGTGTGATTTGAAAGGCCACTTCCCTTTCTAAGCAATAAAAGGATACAGTAGGCACCTCCAGCATCTAGAGCTCCATTGGTGGAGATTGCACAGATGGAGAGCACAGTCATTGTGATGATGAAGTAGGCCACCAGGAACATGGCAATAGAATGGTACAGCCCTGCTTGGCCCACAACAAATCCTGTAATAAGCAAGTAACAGCACATCTTTCACTGAACATCCTTTTAAATCACTTTAAACCTTTGAGCATCACATTTAAAAATAATAATAATAAAAATGATTGAAACAAGTTTAAAATCTATCAGACGAGAAATATCAAACATTTGTTGCAGTTTGAATACTCACAGCTTGCAGTAGTAACTTCTCCAAACTCAGCGCCCTGATTCATAAGTACGGGTTGGACTGTTTTACAGGCTGACGTGATAACTATCAGAGCCTGACTACACAGCTTCAGTATCAGTCTATTTTCTAACATGTAAGCAGAATTTTCCTCAAACAGTGAGCGTGCAGTGCAGAGTGGAGGCCCGAAGTCTACTCAGATTCAACAGATCTTTGAATAGCGAGCCATAATCACTTCAGCTGCATTTGTGTCACTGGGACTAGATTACCGTATTTCCCGATTTACCTTTTTTACGCATCCAAATAATACAAAACGCTGCAGCCAGACTTCTAATGTTTCAGTAAGCAAGCCCAGATTATTCCTGTGTTACTTTCCACCTACTTCCACTTGATTTCAGAATTTGAGTTCAAGTAGTCATACTAACCTCAACACCATACAAAGTGCTATGGTCCAGACTCTCAAATTCTTGCTTTTTGCAGGATTTGCTAACAAGCTCTGAATTTAGTAGTTAGGGGGACTGGGAATAGTCTCCCACTCCAGCTACGTTTAGGTGACTGTGTTTAACCTCTCTGTTTTTAGGATCTGCTTTTTACCTGTGTTTTTGTTTTTAAAATATGGTTGTGTTATTTATTGTCATTTTTGATTATTTACTACGATTTTTCTTTTTGTATCTTATTTTGTTGAACAGCACTTTATGACTATATGTCTGTGGAAAGCATTTAATAAATGTAATCACTGAAAGTGCTTAACCAACTTAGTAGACAACCCAGTGTAAGGTTTATGCCACAGCTGCCCCACATTAACAATATTGGTAATGACCAAAATCAGCTTTTACATTTCTGTAATGGTTAATCCACCAGTTTACACAAGCGATTTAATGGAAATATTTTAAACACTAAAATTAAATAATTATTGTTCTCCATGAAGTTTCAAATTACCTTTAGAAAGTAGAAAATAGTAAAGCACTTTAAAAAAAAATTAAGTTGCCAAATTACAGTTATTTTCTTGCATTATTGAAAGACAGAAAAAACAGAAAAAAATAGTTTGCGGTCAAATGTTATGTTCAATTGATTTCCTATTCAGTCATTTTTTGTTTCGAACAAGTTTTTTCAAACAGTTCAAAAACATTTGTGTTTTCTTGTTTTGTATAAAAGGTGTATCATATATCATAATAACACACACGGGTCTTCAGACAGCTGCTTTAAAAAAAAGGTCCAGGCATTTGTAAAAGCAGATGAATGAGCAAGGAAGGGTATAACCATTAGCACAAGGTTAAGTTTAATCAGCCCACATCTCCCCTGAATATCCATTAAAAACGCCATCTAGATGATTAGTTGGATGACCTATAAAATCTTGAGGCCCAGGCTATTTTAGTGAAATGCCTCAGGTTTAAACCCCTAGAGGCGTTTGGTATTTTATAAAGTTGTTTAATAAAACAACTTTATGGGAGTTTTTTGTTTTATAAAGTTTCTAAAGGAGAACAAGCCGAGAACCAAACCAAATCAATTCCCTAGTTTGCACCTGTGGATCCTCACAGAGGGCCATAGCACAGGTGAGGCGTTGATGTCCAGAGAAAAATGAGGAAATAAGAGTTAACCGGTGATATTACTGAACTAATCGTCAGTATCAAGTTAAACTCATTTTTAATTGTCCATAACTGATGGAAAAAAAATGGGTGTGGGGAGTAAAATATCTCCATATTCTGGAGTCGGACATGAAAGATTGAAAACCACTTATTTGGCTACAAATAATCCACTGAACACGTGTCAGGACTCATTTTTGTTGAGGTAGAGACTTTATTTTTCAGTCTTTTTAAGATCTCCTGCTGATACTCACCAATCCGCAAGAACACAACAACGCTGAACATGGACAGTAAAGTTGGAATGACGACTCCAAACAGCACCCCGAGCTTCTGAGGCGCCCTATCCTTGGATCGTCCGGGGTGTACCCCTCCTCCGACCCCGGTGCGTTTAGATCCATCAGACGGCTCGCCGCTAGTGGTCAGTCGGTAGTGTAATAAAGGCGTTTTTTCTGACATCGTAGATTATCAATAATAAAGGTAAGTGCAACTTTATTTAAATAAAAGACCAGTTCTATATTGTTGTTATGGTGAAACGTGCCATCCACGTCGAGAGCCGCCATTTACCTCCACGCCTCACCTGCTCGAGCCCTTCACCTTGGGCAGGTAATTTGCTAATTGGAGACAAAAATGACGTTGCTTCCTGCAAGGGCTCGTCCAATAATGTCCAGTCTCGTCTCCTTATAATTAGCTTCTTTTTTGTTTTTATTAGACAACAATCAATTAAAATAAATTAAATGATTAGTAAAAAACAAAAAACAGTCTTTCTGTGTTTCGTCTATATTATAAAAGTCCTGTATCACAATTATTTTGAATAATGTATCTTTAAATGCAAAATATATGAATTCTATCGAGAAATTTTCCAACAATACGGAGATTTCTTGTACTAGAAAAGCAAATAATAATCATATTAATAATAATAATAATGCTGATAATAATAGCAGCATACTTCTTTAGCAATGCTCTTATTCAAAGGGTAAACAAGATAAGATTTAAAAGTGCAAAGAGAAAAACACATTTGCTTTCTCCTAAAAAGATATTGCAGTATTAGCAGGGCTGAAGAGCAACAAATATGTTGGAATAAGTCTCATTCTGTTTACATTATTAAGCTGAAAAACATCTGGAACCAGGATTTAGATAATACAGATGTTGTCTGAAGGCATCATAAAAACGCTACATGGCAGATTTTAGCCTGTTGTAGGACCTACAGGCTTACAGTCGTATTTAAAGCATCTCCACTGTCCTGCAGAATGATACAAAGATAAAACTAAAACAAACAAACATAAAACGCCTCAATATCATACATTCATTTTTCTTATATTCATATTACCCTGGCTTTGCTTTATCTTAATGACCGACAGATAGTGAAGTATTCACTCTCTTCTGGCTATAAAAAACAGAACATCCATAACAGTGACTTCTGCGAAAAGGTGACGGAAAAAAATGTAGATCAATCCAGTTTTTGCTTTGATGGACCTCCTTCGTGAGCGACCCCCAGCTGCAGTAGTGAAAAGCTGCTCCGGTGTCACCGGGAATTGGTGCACTTGTGCTCCAGGCCAACCATGAACCACTCCAGCTTGGCTGAGATCAGCAGGTTGTAACTCATCAGGACTGTTCTCAGACTCTGAGTGCTTCGAGGAACACAAGACAGCGATGGAGTCACCACTGCCCCCTGGTGGTTGAAATAGGAAACACAGCAATGATGTGTAGTTTTTAAAATGGAAATAGGGAAGAGCATGAAGCCTGTGAAAATGTTCGGAGTCACCTGGAAATGAGATTGTTGTTGAACTGGGCTATTATTGACAGTAGGTGGTTTAATGACTGTCATTAATGAGCCTCTGTGTGTTTTAATACCACATTCTATATTACCGAATATTATAGTTAAAAAGATCTTTTATTTCCTATTTGATGACTATTTTTGTATTGTAGTAGCACAGCTGATTTTTTCCCCTGCTGTTTAATTAAACTTTAATTTAGTTAGTTCATTATCTGGAGCATCCATCTTTTTTATGGATGATTATAATTGTAAAATGGACCAAAAGTGTTTACCACTCGCTTTATAGAAAAGCACAAACTGACTCTAAACAGCATAAAAATGAAAATTAGATTAGATTAGCATCCAGATAATGGTCTAAATTAAAAAATAACACCCAACTAAGACTGTCCACTAAAAGGTAAAGACGGGCTCACAAATACGATGATAAAATGGGAGATTTGTACAGGATCAAAGGAATCTTTAATAAGGAAGGCTATCAGTCCTATCGGTCCTCTGGATGCTGCATAGTTGGAGCCAGGTTGCTCCTATGACAGGACCGAGCACTAGATCCAAACTATTTAAAGAAGAAGCAGGTAGCAAGTATCCTGATTGAGCGGGCAGCACACTTGTGAGAAGCACTTTATGAGGCTTGAACACGCTGAAAATTGAAAATACTAGCAGTGCTACTCCTCAGCCTGCTAGCACTTATGATATAAATTGGAAAAATCGCAGATGATTTTCAGGAAAGTTGAACGACTGACTTTGACCTTGAGGTCAGTGTCACTGGGATTCAGACTACTTGGAGATTTCTAGCAGATACACCAATCTCAAAATCCTACGTTGCCTCATTCATGAGTTATCGCATTCACAACCTTGGGTTACCACACTGCCAGCCTAGCAGGGTGACGACAATACACTGTCAGCCTTTTACATCTAACAAGAAGACTGTCAAAGGTTTGACATGCTTTGTCGTTTCTTTGACATAAACAAAGCAAAATGTTATTATTATTTCAACTAAAAATAATTATTTCTATATTTGTTAGTGCTGTACTAAATTTTTTATTCACTTTACACCTGATTGGATGATTAAAAATATGAGATTCATGTCAAATATAATTTCTTTTTGGGTGAACAGCAAACCTGTGCTCACGCACATTGAGCTTAAGTTTGTGGTCTTGCCCTTATGACTTCTGAGAACAACTTTCTCACTAACAAAGTATGCGCTGTTATCTTCTTCATGTCCTGAGGAAGGAAAGCTCGGGTCACACAGCATAACATCATCGCTTCCAGTGCACGGAGATTCCAGAAAGACTCACAGACTTACGAGAAACCAGGATATTTCCACGCCAGAGGAAGCTGATAATGCCTCTGTATCACATGCACACCAGTGGTAGAGAACCCCGTTACATGTGTTCCCTCACGATGTGCGAACTTGTATCAACACAACACGTGTCGTAATGTGTCTGATGTGCTTGAGTGACAGAGACACTCAGTCAGCTTTTGGATTTGCAGGTGAGAAGACATGCAGACTTTAGTTTGACAGTGAAAGCTTCTAAGGAGCTGAAATTCTACGTTACCTAAAGAAAATATCTGAATCCAAGACATTCAGAAATTTTGTGGCCAAATTTACAGCTAGTCTACCATTTGCACTTACACTGAACGGCAAATCGGTGCTTACTGGGAGTGCTTATGAGCTCGTTTGCATGCAACTTGTCACTGTGAGTGCGTCTTACGCTCAGCTGAAGGCGGGTGAGGATGAGCAGGTAGTTGTTGATGTTGTTCTCCAGTCTCTGCAGCAGCAAAGCGCCACATCCTGTCGGTCTGAGGCTCCTTTCAGACTTCACACCCTCGACAAGAAGCCTTAAAGATGCAACTATCTCTCCTCTCTTCTCCCGCTCCTGCAGTTACATGCACATTCAGAAAAGGGAGGAGAGGTAATAAAATGTTTGGCAGCACTTCATAATAAAGCCCATGACTTATGGTGCAATTTTCGATCGTTTTACGTGTAATTTTTCTTGATTTAGGGAGTAATTTTCAGTACCTAAAAATACTTAGAACAAAAAGGTTTTAAAGGAAAGAATAAACGAATTATACTTTAAGTATTTTGCTTAATGTGAACCTTTTGTGTATATCAGCATCCTAATGTTTCCCAAATTACCCAAAGTTGACGATGAACCCTAAATGTCTATTAGTAATGTAAGAAGGGGAGGTTAAGATATTACATAATGCAGCCCACAGCCTTAATGAGGAAGCAGTGTTTGTCTTTTCCTCTAAAATAGCCCAAAGGTATCTTTCTCCATATTATATTGACAGTGTAATCTGGGCCTGCTTTATAATAACCCAAAATGTGTTCACTGCTAAATGCTCACAGTGCAATTTGTTCCTTAATTAGTTTAAATCCTCCAATTTGATACCAAGTTGTTCTGTTGTGCCTATTGTGCTGAACATTACACCCTAAATTCAGACAAAACACACTGTGAATACTGGGAAATTACACCATAAGCTGTGGGCTGTTGTACAAAGTGCTACCAAATGTTTTACTCAAATCTGCTGCGGTGGAGGATGGATTCATATGTGTGCCAGCATTACCGATTTGTGTTCCCAAGATGCTGCGTGAAGCTCAGTGCAGGGTAGCTGAACCTGTGTGGAGAGGGTTGCCGAGCCATTACAATTACTCTGCAACGGAGGAGACACGGGAGAGACAAGTGACAGAGACAAGACAGACAGGTGGACAGGCTGACTACAGGTAACAACAGACAACAGGCGGATTAGATACAGCATCCAGATGGAGGTTGTGAAACAACCCATTTCTTTAAAATAAATTGATCTTGAAGCCAGAGAGGAAGGCAGTGACATTCTTACCAGTGCACTGGACATCTCGGGCACAATATTCAAAGCCTTTCTGGCTGCTCTACTGCACACAAACTCTGTGGACTTGGTCTCACTGTCCCACACTTCAGAGGCTATCATACAGAGCAGCAGAAGTCCTGGATAAGGTCAGAAATACATGCTGAAAGTGAGCCGTCCCAATAAAGTTTGTAATAAAAGACTCATAAGTCAACCTTTTGTACTCACTGCTTAAAGCCATGCCCTGCTTGGCTTCTCCGTATGAGTCCACATTTGTTCCATTAAGAGATGTGCCCAGAAATTGAAAATGTGGAAAATGCCCAGAGTCTGCTGTGGTGTCCTGTTTGTCTTCTCACCACTTGATTTCCCACCTTCTCATTCAGTAGTGGGAAGTGCGAGTGTTATCTAGCCTGAGAGCAGGATGTGCTCCAACTTCTCTGCTGCGCAGCACAACAGAATGTTATAAACTGAAAGTGGCATTTTATTGATATCAGCGAGACTATTTTGCTTCTGAGTTGGCTGTCGTAGTACTCGGGGAACAGCATCGTTGCTGGAAAACAGGTTAATGATCTATTATTGTGAAATAATCCATTGACACAGCTGTCCTGAAAGATATTTACTTTTCGTCCAGGTTAGCGCTGGCCAATAGAAGTCACAGCCAGGGTACATAAACGTCCCCAAACTGTCCTAGGGAGCTAAAGGCGCCAGCAGGTGGGTGTGTGTAAGCACCGTGGGTGTATAACCTGTGTGTGATGACATAATGCATGCGTGACTTAATGTGTTTAGAGAATTTGAGGCGCCCTAAACGCCCAGCAGATTGCAAATGTTTCATTTTTTTTTTAACAAAAGCTTATAGAAAGACACAGCTTGTAACTTCTAAACAGGCTTGCGGTCTTTGCAGGCAGGACAAGGTGACATCACTGGCAACGTGATTACCCACTCGAGGATCGCTTAATAGCTTGTAAACATGACAGAGAAGGAGAAGTGAACAGTCTGCACCCGGATGCATGCAATCACCCACCGGGTTGCGCTACCTTTTGGGTCGCAGCTGGAGGACGAAGCGGTGAGGCTCCAGTTCAGCTGCCATGTGAGGGTTAAGGTTAAAAGGAGGCGCATTAGCTGTCAACACACATGGACAGGAGACAACGTGGGGAGTGCACCATTCATCCTCATTTTCAGTCACACGCGCTCATCATCCTACCACCTCAGTCTGGACATTGACTGAGCCCCGCTGTCTTCACCTTCCTGCACCCGAGCTATTTTTGCGTGTCATGATTAAGACGCACGACGCTTAATATGGGACCTTAAAGTGTTTGCGCGCGCGTGTGGTGGTGGTGGTGCCACATGCGAGCAGAGAGGGAGAGAGAGAAAGAGAGAGAGAGAGAGGGATGCAGAGCATGACCGAGCATCAACACTCAGTCTATGTTCTGTTTCCCCCCTCCAAGCTTCCCTCTGTTTCTGCAGTCGATCCCGGCCGCTGTTAATTAAGACGAATGCGCGACGCCGATCCGCATATGATGAGCGGAGCGCCTGGATTTCTGCACACGAGGAGAAAACTGCGGTCTGTAACATTGACGGTACCCGCATTGCATCACGGACACGACACCCGGTACCCCGCTGTCTCCCTCCCACCTCAGCAGGCGCAGATGAGGAGGCTGTAGCATCTTATCATAGAGTTTCTTTGACTTGTGCAGCCGCGCTCTCAGGCGGCCGGCTGCTGTTGCTCATGGTCTCCAGATTCAGCCAACAGCTGGCTGCTCCTCTGTGCGCCGTTCTGGAGGCGCAAAGCCGGTAATTACGCGCGGTGCTGACAACTTTGGCGCGGCGCTGTATGGAATGCGCACCAGCAACAGGCCATTCTCTGGGATCTACTGAGATTTCCCTTCCTGGGAGTAAAGTGCGATTTTCGGAAGTCATCTGCAATCAGATCGCCTCATCGACTGAGTGAGCGCTACAACCTGTGGCTGTGCGCCACTTTATTTCTGTCAAAATCCTGCTAAGGCGCAATGGAAGGACAGAGCTGACGGTTTTTGAATACGTAGCCCGGAGAGCAGGGGGGAAAAAAGGGAGAGAGGAAGACAGCAGCCCAGGGAAAAAACGTGAGTGCACAGCTGGATTAGTGTCTCTTTTCTGTCTTTTTTTTAAAGTATCAAATGTCACAAAATGTTCCAAAGTTTGCTCATTCCAGGGTCAAGGGCAAATTCTAACTGAAGGTCTAACTGGGCTTTGGTGTATTTGCTGGTGTTCAGGTTTCGTTTTGTCTTTATTTCTTCTCAGTTTTCTTATTCTCTATCAGCTGTATCAGCCAACAGGAATGAAAGACAACTGAGAAACTTGGCACACAAAACTGAAGGGGCACAGGTGGTTGCACATCTTCATGTTGCAGAGGAATGACTCAAGGTGCTTGTGGCAGTGTGGCTGTATCACACATCTATGCCAAATGTTCCATAACAAAACAACTTTGCCAGTGATCCGTATGTATACACCACCTAAACATTCATTTAATTCTAATGACAGGCTTTTTATATAATACGGAAGAGCGTCTTACCTCATGTAGACACCGAGGATCAGTGGGTAAGAAACACATCAATCTGTCTGTGGGTTTTTTTCCCTCCTGTATGCTGGTGCCACACTGGCCTCCGTGCACAGGTGATAGATTTCTAAAAACTCCTGTAGAAATGGAGAGATGTGGGTCAGTGTGCTGGTGCTTGGGGCTGCAGAGCACCCAGTTTCTCTGCTGTCAGGACCACAATACACACAATACCTCTGCCCGTTTATGAATGCCAGGTCCTTGATATAATGATGCCAGTGACACATATTGCTCTCAAGGTTATAATGCAAGGCCGAGTTGGAAGCCCACGGTGCATATGAACACGAAGAGCATGAACAATTGTTTTTTGTGAACGTGTGTTTCTGTGCGTGTGTTTTTAGGTAAAATGCCACAGTGGTCTCTGAGGGCCTGGTTCATTTTGGTGCCTGTGGCCCAGCGCTTTGAACCGGTTGCCTTGCCAATAGCCAATAAGCTGCAGCCTTTTGCAGGACTGTCAGCCAGTCAAACTAGTCCCCACAGGAAGTTGTGATGTTTTTTATTCAGGATGACCTGAGACTGGTTCAATTTTTTAATGTGAGAGCCACAATTTCAAGAATTTATTAGCAACCCGCCATTTGGTGGTAAAACTTTCTAACAATGCAAGTAGCAGTTTAGAAAAGACTCTTTGGTTTGGCTTAAAAAAAAGTTTTAAACGTCCTGAAACCAAACAGAAAAAAATATTGGCAGACATGAAGGTTTGTTTGTTTTTTTTTTTTGAAGCAGTGAATCCCTGGAACAGTGGTTATCGTTTAGGTGTGAGGCCCACTTGGCAGCACATCTGTCAGGGCAGTAGATTTCACTGCCAGTATGTAGCACCTCTGAAAAGCCTTCCAGTGAAAGCCCAGAGAGATGACTGCTTGCAGTATAATTACACCGCACATGTGGGAAAAGGAAATGATCTGAATGTGTAGCAAGTCTTCTCGTGTGAGCGTTTGGAGGTGGATACTAGCTCTCTTGAGACACGCACAGATGGGTGACAAATTATAGGAAAAACATGAACACTTGTGCGGGGTTTTCTGTCTCAAATAGGCCTTTGTGTGTGACCGTTGATTAATCTGCACAGAGGAATGGCAATGAGCCTGTGTTACTTTACCTAACAGAAATCTGTGCATTTTTCTGTATTTTATAATTGAAGAAATTAAACACTACTTAAAATATAGTCAGTACAGTCCTAGTAGTTAACTTTTTTCCCCCAAGTCCACTTCTGCCTTTAGAGGAAAAGGTCACTCCAAAGCATGTTAAAACATCACATCAAGAAACATTTCTATCCTTGTAGGAATGCTCTCTTACTGAATGACGATGCCCATATTCATTAGTATGAGAATGGCATGAATCATGAGCTGTGGCCTTTGGATCAGTGTGTTTGGTAGGACAATGACCCATCCCTCCAACTGAGCTCCAGAGATTTGAAACTGTTCTGGCAGCACGCGGTGGCCCGACACCTTACTAAGCCACTTTGTCTTCTTTTTTGTTTTATTGTTTCTTTTTATTTCCACCCATCTGTTTAGACACACCACAGTTTTATGACTCATAAGAGGAGTGGTTACAAATACTTAAAGGGGATCTGCTGTAGTGTTCATTAGCACAGAGCAGAACTATAAAATACTTCTTGTGGAAATGTTTGGCAGCAAGTTTTCATGCAAAATGCACTTGCAGGCAATGCATATTCTCCCTCAATCCATCCATTTGTCTGTTTTCTTAACCACTTGCCTGATTCAGGGTCGCAGCGGCACCGGAGCCTATTCAGGCTGTTATTAGACCCTGCTCGGGTCTACTAGTCTGCTGCCTAAATCTATAGGCGTAGAATAAAGTGTGTTAGAGAGGGGAGTATGAGAAGTGAACTGCAAAGTTATGATTGTAATTTATTCTATATTCTATAATTTGGTGTTTTAAAGTTGGTGCTGACAGCACTATTCAGCACATTTATCCAAAAAATTGGTTCTTTGAGTTTAAATCTTTCAATTTCACATTATTATTCATGCCATTAGATCACATCCGCTTCAGTTTTGAACCAGTGTCCATGTGCTCGTGTGTGCTTTTACTTCTTTTTTATTTATTTATTTACTTTTGGATTGGATTTCTTTTTGAATGAAAAAGCTTTTCAGAGAGAAATGCATTTTAGTTTCCAGCACAATATGAGGCATTTCCAGCTCGCACATTTTTCACATAAAAAATCTCTTATATTTTCCTCATTTCATCCTGAGAGTGTGCTGCCTTCGTGCTTCAAAGAGTCAGAGAGTTACTGTCATTTTAGCTCAGATTGCATCAACACGAGAATGTTTAAAAATTTAAGGCCACACGATACAGATTTCTCATGTGAAACTCAGCGTAATTGTTATGGGAGGCGCTAAACGGGCTGAGAAAACAGTTGCATCTTGTCTGTGGCTCCCAGAGGAGATTTCTAAAGTCAGTGAAAACAACTTTGATCATGTCATCAGGGTTATGTTCGGTTTTAGCACAAAAGAGTGCAACACCAACGTAGTTACCCCGCAAATGATGGAGGGCTCAATTACACACACTAATGAGTTGCTTTATGGGAATTCACTTTGACCTTGCTTCAGTTTTGCCCACTTCACTTTTCATGTTTGAGAGATATTATCACACATGCTGACTTATCTTTTTAAAATATCTATGAAGGATTTAATGCAGTCAGATGCTGTGACATAGACCGACAAACAAGCTCCTCTACAGGCTATGCCAAAAAGTGATTGCTGGTATTTAAACTGATGTAAATGACTTGCTGACCTGTAATCTCTCAAACATATCTCTCTTGAATGATTTCAAGCCATTTTGAGACACAAGGTAGAAGCTGCAGTCAGTAATTTTTATATAGCCTTGAAAAGGTCTCATTAAGATAAAAAAAATCTGCTTTTAAAGAGACAGCCGGCCAAAATACAGGATAAAAAAACATGAGTGAGAGAAATAGGTATTTGATCCCCAAGCAAAACATGATTTAGCACAAGATGGAGAAACCCTTGTTAGTGAGTACAGCTATAAGATGTTTCT